GCCAGAACTGTTCTAAAAGTAAAAGCTGCAGGTCGCCGACTCCCGATTTTGCTTCACTTCTCCTCTCCACAGGAGACAATTGTGAGAGAAATTTGGTCTCATTTTTCGAGATGAGCTTTTCGACACATCTGTATGAGAGTTTGGCAAAACTGTGTTGCCAATGCAAAGAAAATACGCCCAACTCCATTAAAACTCCTTTGACTTACAATGGCGATGAGAATCCCAATGGCGCAGTTGGGCTCTCAGTGATCAAAGTAGGCATACGGTTAGGAGCAAAGAAAAAAAAGATTAATTTAAGAACTGAAAGCATTTTCTTTCTTGCAACAGTTAAGTGATGAGGTGTAGAGCAATCCTGGTTGACTCATGGCAATAAGAAACAACACAATATTTATTTTTTTTTATGTTTAACACGCATTTTGCTCCAAAATGAGGGATGACCACATCAACAAAAGAATATATTGATCTAATGAAATGGCAAAACGATGAACAATAGTTCACATTGTGAACTTTTCATCAAACACATAATTTCTTAAAGGCTATGTGCATTTGAATTCGAAAAGTGAGGCGTTTTGTTGCAGTTGAGTATATAATCAAGAATATTAAAGACCTTTTGCAGTTCAGCCAGGGAATGGTAAATTGTACAATCTATCCATGAATTCCCGTTGTCCGTGTTTGTGATGTCTGTGTCCAACTACAATTAATTCTCAATATTATAATGTTGGTCTTTTTTCACTATTTATACTGAAACATTACCATTTTCATGTTCTGGTACAAGTATTTACAAATTTTCTTATGCTTCATTTGGTAGATTTCAAGCTTTGTCAATGTTTGACGAACAGACCGCCTTGAAATATGAAACTGGTCCTGGGTAAAAATTCCACTTTAGCTTTTGGACTTCCACTGTTTGAGGATTCCAGTGGCTTTGCCTCAAGACTCAAGGTGTTCGTAGGTTCTGGGTTCCGACTTTACTTTGAATGTTACAGAAGGGGTTACTGTTCCGAAATTGGTCAGAGCATGCCTAGTCAATATTTGAAAGTATTCTTACATCAAAATCAAAGTGATCTTGAGTTGTAATTGGTTTGATGTTTGTTACATTATTGTGAAATGTTTCCCATTCATATCTGGCTGATTTTCAGTTTATATACACTATACATTAATTCTAGTCATAAAATTGTGTGTAAACTTCAAGTGTTTTCCAATTAGACTTTTTCATATGTGGAATGGAAATTTTTAATGAACTGTTTTGCAGCACAAGAAGGCTATGTGAGGTCAGTTCCTATGCTGGGAGAATATTATTGATTATCTCTATCTTTAGTTTTAGTAGAGGTTTTACGGCGCTCACAACTGCATAAGGTCATATGAGCACCAGAAGATTAGAGGTATTACAGGAGAGTAACAAACATAAAAAAGAAGAAGGGGCGATGAGGACGATAGATGTTCGATAGGAAAGAAGGAGCAAACCACACCAGAGCACCAGCCAACCACCTACATCTCTCTGTCTTTAAGACATGACCTAATTACATAGTAGTGAGATATACTTCACCACAAACAAAATTGTGAATTGGAGTGTAATGACAGTCCTTGCAAACTGACACATCGCAGTCTTTTTCATTTCTGTAGAGACAAGTTTAAAGACAAAGGCATGCGCACTTGAATCAACTAATATAAACTGCTCCAATGGGGTTCTTTTGGGGGTTTAAAGTTTTACTACACTTGCAGCACGATTAGGACATGATATAAATGCCGAAGATTAAAGGTGTACAAGAGAGTAACAAACACTAAAAAGAAGGGGGAGAGATGACAATAAATGTTCGATGGGACAGAAGGAGCGAACCACACCAGAGCACCAAAACCACCCACCACCTGAATTTTAGAGCTGAACTTGTCCCACAATATATTGGCAATTTCTCCAAACTTCAGAATATCCTGACCCTCGAAAATGACATATGTCTCATCTGGCACAGTAAGGGATAAGATGGTGGTTTGTTTGATACACCAAACCCACAAAAAGAACAACAAATTGTACAACAGCAACAAAAAAATTATAAACATGAAAGAGTACACTCAAAATTCAGATTTTTATTTTTACAAAGTTGGACAATTCAGGGCCCTTCACATTACTAATACACTTATAATGTTTGTGTCCTCAAGTTATATTTCCCAAAGTTTTCTGACAAAAAGCTGTAATTATTTTCTTCTTCAAAGACTGATACCAAGATCAAAGAAATACTGTAACGTTCCTTCTTTTCTTGACAGCAGTGAAAATTTTTTTTCTCTCAAAATCAAAATGTCGTCAAAAGCAAGATGAACACCAGGAAAAGATCATATAAAACATTTTGATCACTAAAAGCTTTGCTGTTCTTTAGTATCCATTCACAAAGATCAACCACGCTTCCAAATAGCCTATACTTTCATCTTGGAAAAAAAACAAGTAAAAATAAATTCAACTACCCTTAAAACACACACACTCCATCCATTCATCATAAAACACCACCATTCTATAATACAAGATTTAAGACTATTCACACACACACACACATACACACACACACACACACCCACACACACACACACACACACACACACACACACACACACACACACACAACCATCACTCACACATTTCAATATCTGCGGTAAAAATGTCCCCATTTACTTCAACATAAACAAAATCTTGCAATGTGCCTCCGTCCTTTGTCACCTAACACTGGACTCTCTCTCCTGCCTGTCTCTGAGACTCGAACCCTCTCTGCCTCGCTCTGTCCTGCTGCGTAACATACTACCACCACTGTCCTGGCCTGTGCTGGAACTGTCCCTGATGCCAAAGATTTCGTCAATAGAGGGCGTCACTTGAACTTCAGGCCCTATAGAGGTCCAGATATAGCACAGTTTGGGCTCCGGGTTTACGGTTTTGTAGGGTGCGTCACGTGCCTTGAAGTAGTCGGAAGGGGCGTGGCAGACAAACTCCATGTACTCCATCTTCCTGGGCAGATCTTCTTCCGGACCTGTGTGACATCGAATCCAGACCGGATAATGCACTTGATTACACATGACATTATGACTAGTTTAGTTTTAGTAAGAGTTTTAAGGCACTTGCAACACAATAAGGTCATATAAGTGCCGAAGATTAGAGGTGTTACAAGAGAGTAATAAACACCAAAAAAAAAGAGGAGAGATCAGGACGATAGATGTTTGATAGGAAAGAAGGAGCAAACCACACCAGAGAACCTGCCAACCACCCACTGACATTATGACTATACTATAAGCAAAGTAAAGGAGTCAAAGAAAATAGACATCTCGCATCCTTAGAATGATTGGGTTTTAGCTCCACTTTTGGCAAGATCTGAGTTACTCATCACACATGACTGATACAGATGCCCTGCACACTGAGTCAAACGCTTGAGGCAGTTTGACCTGTATTTTTTCAGTTAACAAATAAGGTGTAAAACATTGTAACTGTAAGACTGTGAATCTCTGAATCTCATTTTCTCAAAACTATGTGTCATGGAGTAAGAACCCTGTTACTCTGAGGGTGCAACTTCCTTTCATCTTGAAGTTGTTAGGGTACTACAGTCCCCTAGCGCTGCAAACTCGGGGACTGTACAGTCCCCTAGCGACAGTCCCCTAGCGCTGCTTAGATCTACTCTGGGACTGGCGTGTAGTCCCCTAGCGTTCTGCACTGGGGGGGACTGCAAAGACAGTTTGAGATGTTTGTCAAATAAATCTTGAACGAGCATCCTTTTAGCACATTACACCCTAAGCCCAGCATTGCTGACCTTTTTCTCACAGTTACTAATATTACAAGACAAAACGCTCTGAACAAGAGAAAGCTGATTCTGATCGAGATGTCAACGTTTTTAGATTTTAGTCTATAAAAAATGTTATTTCTCAATCTTTTTCAATGACTTGAAGAATACTTTTTATTTGAAGAATCCAGGATTCTACTTTAAGTAGTAGCCTTGAATACATTAACTGATTACTGATACACATGATGTACTTAGGTCAAAATTCTCAAATTTCAAATCTTCAGTGTTCAGTTTAAAACACATTACACTGGGTAGACTAATATTACTGACCGGTTAAAAGAGCAAGCCATCTCATATTATAATTCTCTGATCGAAAGCAACAACAACATACCACCTACATAGGTCTAGCACAGACTTGCCAACCCCAACAGTTACCTTTACTAATTTTCTCACATTTTTACCCCAAATCTAAGCCATTTCTTCAGATCCCCCCCCCAAATATCTTTAGTTTTAGTAGAGGTTTTACGGCGCTCACAACTGCATAAGGTCATATGAGCACCAGAAGATTAGAGGTATTACAGGAGAGTAACAAACATAAAAAAGAAGAAGGGGCGATGAGGACGATAGATGTTCGATAGGAAAGAAGGAGCAAACCACACCAGAGCACCAGCCAACCACCTACATCTCTCTGTCTTTAAGACATGACCTAATTACATAGTAGTGAGATATACTTCACCACAAACAAAATTGTGAATTGGAGTGTAATGACAGTCCTTGCAAACTGACACATCGCAGTCTTTTTCATTTCTGTAGAGACAAGTTTAAAGACAAAGGCATGCGCACTTGAATCAACTAATATAAACTGCTCCAATGGGGTTCTTTTGGGGGTTTAAAGTTTTACTACACTTGCAGCACGATTAGGACATGATATAAATGCCGAAGATTAAAGGTGTACAAGAGAGTAACAAACACTAAAAAGAAGGGGGAGAGATGACAATAAATGTTCGATGGGACAGAAGGAGCGAACCACACCAGAGCACCAAAACCACCCACCACCTGAATTTTAGAGCTGAACTTGTCCCACAATATATTGGCAATTTCTCCAAACTTCAGAATATCCTGACCCTCGAAAATGACATATGTCTCATCTGGCACAGTAAGGGATAAGATGGTGGTTTGTTTGATACACCAAACCCACAAAAAGAACAACAAATTGTACAACAGCAACAAAAAAATTATAAACATGAAAGAGTACACTCAAAATTCAGATTTTTATTTTTACAAAGTTGGACAATTCAGGGCCCTTCACATTACTAATACACTTATAATGTTTGTGTCCTCAAGTTATATTTCCCAAAGTTTTCTGACAAAAAGCTGTAATTATTTTCTTCTTCAAAGACTGATACCAAGATCAAAGAAATACTGTAACGTTCCTTCTTTTCTTGACAGCAGTGAAAATTTTTTTTCTCTCAAAATCAAAATGTCGTCAAAAGCAAGATGAACACCAGGAAAAGATCATATAAAACATTTTGATCACTAAAAGCTTTGCTGTTCTTTAGTATCCATTCACAAAGATCAACCACGCTTCCAAATAGCCTATACTTTCATCTTGGAAAAAAAACAAGTAAAAATAAATTCAACTACCCTTAAAACACACACACTCCATCCATTCATCATAAAACACCACCATTCTATAATACAAGATTTAAGACTATTCACACACACACACACATACACACACACACACACACACACACACACACACACACACACACACACACACAACCATCACTCACACATTTCAATATCTGCGGTAAAAATGTCCCCATTTACTTCAACATAAACAAAATCTTGCAATGTGCCTCCGTCCTTTGTCACCTAACACTGGACTCTCTCTCCTGCCTGTCTCTGAGACTCGAACCCTCTCTGCCTCGCTCTGTCCTGCTGCGTAACATACTACCACCACTGTCCTGGCCTGTGCTGGAACTGTCCCTGATGCCAAAGATTTCGTCAATAGAGGGCGTCACTTGAACTTCAGGCCCTATAGAGGTCCAGATATAGCACAGTTTGGGCTCCGGGTTTACGGTTTTGTAGGGTGCGTCACGTGCCTTGAAGTAGTCGGAAGGGGCGTGGCAGACAAACTCCATGTACTCCATCTTCCTGGGCAGATCTTCTTCCGGACCTGTGTGACATCGAATCCAGACCGGATAATGCACTTGATTACACATGACATTATGACTAGTTTAGTTTTAGTAAGAGTTTTAAGGCACTTGCAACACAATAAGGTCATATAAGTGCCGAAGATTAGAGGTGTTACAAGAGAGTAATAAACACCAAAAAAAAAGAGGAGAGATCAGGACGATAGATGTTTGATAGGAAAGAAGGAGCAAACCACACCAGAGAACCTGCCAACCACCCACTGACATTATGACTATACTATAAGCAAAGTAAAGGAGTCAAAGAAAATAGACATCTCGCATCCTTAGAATGATTGGGTTTTAGCTCCACTTTTGGCAAGATCTGAGTTACTCATCACACATGACTGATACAGATGCCCTGCACACTGAGTCAAACGCTTGAGGCAGTTTGACCTGTATTTTTTCAGTTAACAAATAAGGTGTAAAACATTGTAACTGTAAGACTGTGAATCTCTGAATCTCATTTTCTCAAAACTATGTGTCATGGAGTAAGAACCCTGTTACTCTGAGGGTGCAACTTCCTTTCATCTTGAAGTTGTTAGGGTACTACAGTCCCCTAGCGCTGCAAACTCGGGGACTGTACAGTCCCCTAGCGACAGTCCCCTAGCGCTGCTTAGATCTACTCTGGGACTGGCGTGTAGTCCCCTAGCGTTCTGCACTGGGGGGGACTGCAAAGACAGTTTGAGATGTTTGTCAAATAAATCTTGAACGAGCATCCTTTTAGCACATTACACCCTAAGCCCAGCATTGCTGACCTTTTTCTCACAGTTACTAATATTACAAGACAAAACGCTCTGAACAAGAGAAAGCTGATTCTGATCGAGATGTCAACGTTTTTAGATTTTAGTCTATAAAAAATGTTATTTCTCAATCTTTTTCAATGACTTGAAGAATACTTTTTATTTGAAGAATCCAGGATTCTACTTTAAGTAGTAGCCTTGAATACATTAACTGATTACTGATACACATGATGTACTTAGGTCAAAATTCTCAAATTTCAAATCTTCAGTGTTCAGTTTAAAACACATTACACTGGGTAGACTAATATTACTGACCGGTTAAAAGAGCAAGCCATCTCATATTATAATTCTCTGATCGAAAGCAACAACAACATACCACCTACATAGGTCTAGCACAGACTTGCCAACCCCAACAGTTACCTTTACTAATTTTCTCACATTTTTACCCCAAATCTAAGCCATTTCTTCAGATCCCCCCCCCCCCCCCCCCAAATTTGTTTTTAAAGTTTTGATTAAAAAGGTGTGGAACTTTGAAAAGAGCTACCATTGCTACTACTACTACTACTAAAACTACAACAACTACTAATATCCACACTGAAATCATAGCAAAGAACTCAGATAGACATACTACCATACACTATGGGAGGTAAATGTTGATGATGGCTTGTTGACCTCGACCTAAAGGTTAAAGGTTGATTCTTTGCAGCCCCCCTAAAACTAAAACAGCTGAATATAGTCTTTCATTGTATTTTTCTTTCTCAAAGAGTTTCAGAGAAATACAGAGAGTAGTAGTAGAGAGAGAAACAAGCGAAAAGGTCTGCAAAATTCCCAAATTTGTACTACCATTTTTGTGACTGGCATTCTTCATTGCTTTCAACGTGATTTATATCAAAACTAGTAACATGGAGTTGGTACAAGGTACTGTGGTCCCCAGCTACAACAGGACTGCAAGGACCGATGTGATATCCCTGTTATAGATAGCTGAATCAGGTTATAGACAGGTATCAAGTTTACAAACACTGCTACTAATGAATAATCAATAGGATAGTATAAAATTTATGAATTACTACTAACATAGGCTACTAACTACCAATTTATACATTAGTTATTGCCCTTTCTTTTCTAATAATTTTTTTTTCTTCCCATCATCTTCCTTTTTTCTAGTATAACTAGTCTCATGAAGGTTCACGTAGAATAATTTGAAATGCACAAATAATAACTGGGTTTATAATAGCGCATTTCCATGCTCTACAGAACCAAGAGCATGCTCTGTGCACTTTACATGCAGGCCTATTACTAGATCTTTGGTAGATTTAGCACCCAGAGCCTACTTCTTATTTAATCATTTATTCTTGTTACAAGTCTGACTACCCCATGGGGAGACAATATGAGGATGAAGTGCCTGACCAACATCACGATAAGTTACTGACTCGATTTCCATCAACATTAAAGTGTATCCAGCTTTCCCCCCTCCATCCCCTGCACTCATGGTATGACACATCATAAAATGTGTACACAATCAACTTATAAAGCCTATTGTGGGTCATGCAGGGCACTTCATTATGTTGGATGTTGTTTTGCTTTATTTGTCTTCTTCTGCTATGGTTTATTTGCTGGAGGATTTTGTTGATGGTTGGACTTCAGAATGTTTAAATCCCATTTTCTAGGTGAAGTTCAGTTTTAATCAATAATCAATTTGACGCTCATGCATTTGAATTTCTTTTTAGTTTCGAATTCATAGTATGCCCCCTTTCTCAAGAACCACAAGGCTTTGATGTAGGACACAGGTTTCCTACTGATGTGTTTTTCAATAAAAAGTACACACAAACTTACAATTCAAATACATAAAACTATAGATCTCAATAAAGAAAAAAATGGACCTTTGTTGTTATGTATATCCATGCAAATATAGCAGAATAACGCTAAAGGAAAAAAATGCTCATTTAACCCAAAATCAGTGACTTCGCTGACCTGCCTAGCCAGTGAAGACAACCTTTTAAAATACACATCATCAACAACATCAGAAATATTTTAAAATATTTCTTTGTGAATCAACCCCTGGATATTCTTTGAGTGATGTAAATTGTGCAAGTTTATCTTTCTTCACAAATAAGCAAATCTCAATTAAACAACCCAAATGTTTAAACAGACACTGGCCCACTGATATACAAAGAAAGAAGAAAAAACCGTACTGACCTAGAATGTAAGTGTTGGGGTCAAATCTGTTTGGAGGTGATCTCACAGTAGGGAGCAGCCAGGTAATGACAGCACTCTTCTCGTTGTATTGGTCCGAGAGGAAGCCACGAAGTTGAGCATAAAAGACTCCACCGTCATGGTCCACCAGGGACACCACATCCCCTACTTGGTAGTACTGGTCCTGACAACAAAGAAGATACCATATTGAACACAAGATACATATTTGTCAAAATTATATTAGGTTTATTCTGTACAGCGTGAGTGATAATGATGAGTATTTCAGTTCAAGAGAACAATTTAAAAAATCCAGTTTCTCCTGCTAAAAAAGAAATCTTAGGAATCAAACTACAAGTTCACAACCACAGATGAACACTTAAACCATGGAAATGGGAACATTTTTGGAAGAAGTACTTTTTGTCATTAAAAAAACAAAAAAACTTAAAAATTAGTTTACCTCACACAAAAAATTAACAAGACACCATGGAAGCCTCATCATTCTTCAATAATTTCAAACAACTCCATGCGCTGAACCATTGTAAACCAGCCCTTACACCACAAAATGTAACAAAACATCACTGTAAAAGTTCATACCTTGTGGAATACGCTTTCACCAGTAACGACTGTGGCAACTGCAGCTGGTGCCTTCAACGGGGCCTGAGAAAAGTGAATGAAAACATAATCATATAATTATATCAAAACATACACTCTGATTTTCAAATACCAAACTTCATTCTCTTTGTTCAATTCTAATCTAAAATTGCATCTAAAGAATTTTAGCATCTTGAGAGATCCCTAGTAATATATTAGTCATGTTGAATGGATAGAGCATCATGTGGTGGACAAATCAGTCCTACAAAAAGCCCCAAAAAATAATAAAATTTTAACCCTTGAATTTGAGTACACTAGTGGTGAGTAAAATTGGTCTAAATGCCCAGCAACCGGTATACCAGTAAGAGAGACCCTGGTTTTATCACATAGCCTATAATGGGAATTTCATTGAGACAGCACCTACTGGGCTGATCTGGGCATACAAAGGTGGAATTCTGGCGATAAAGTACAGGTAGGTCACTCTTGTGCATGGAAAGTTTCAAGTCATAATGATCATTATATTTTCCAGTTTTTGGAATAAATATAAGCATTCAAACTTAGTATGTCAAAATATAGGTGAATCTCTCAGTCAGTAGCTCAGGCAGAGAGGGGCACGGTGCCTCAGGGGCTCAAGGTTTAAAAACAAAAAGGGTTAAAAGTTGTCCTCTATTCCCAAGTCTCAAGCCATAAATTAATGCCATGCCGGTTAGAATGAACTTTGGTGAACCCAACACTGAACGAAGCCGGAACTACTTTTGAGCCTCACTGTGCAATGGTCCGCTCTAGATCTAATGTTGTTATTGTTTTGATTTTATGTGGGTTTTCTTTTAGGAAGAGGCTAGCCGTACTTAATGACGGCTAGACTGGCAGTCTAGCCGTACTTATTCTAAATATGATGACTAGACTGACCTTTTTTTTTTTAAATAGGCCTTCTGAATTGTAAATATAAATTTTAGTGTGCAGTACCTAAAGTATTTGTATTTAAGACGAAACCAGGTGCCTTAATGACAGTGCATGTATTTTAAACCTCCTGTTTTCTAATGTTAATAGGGCCTAAGATAAGGACGGCTAGCTGTACTTAATATTGATGGCTGAATTGTAAATGAAATTTTTAGTTTGCAATGCCTAAAGTATTTGTATTTCAGACAAAACCAAAAGGTGCCTTACTGACTTGCATGTATTTGAACCTGAATAATTACTAGATCTAGATCTACTGAGACCTCTGTACTTAACAGGCTTGAGTCGATAGGGCCAAACCTAGATCTAAGTACGGCTAGACTGGCAGTCTAGCCGTACTTAAGTACGGCTAGACTCTCAGTCTAGCCATACTTAAGTACGGCTAGCCACTTCGTTTTTTTTATTGTATGTTATGGGGGGAGATTAAGAGAGAGGGATGTCCCAATGAAGCAAACCCCCTGAAATCCCCCACTGTTGTTATATATATGGCTAGTGTGCAATAATACATGTAAACAAGATGGGTCCACCAAAGTTCAATCCAGCCGCCATGCCTTTTGACCTTTTTGTCACAAGAACTCTCAAAATCCACTGCTGGATGGCAGTTACAATTCTAAGATTACTCTTGATTACTCACATTTTTCTTGAAGATTATTCTTCTCCCTTTTCCTTTAGTTGAAAGGCTCTTGTTTGAAGGCTGGATGGTCTTTTTAGCTGGTTTGATTCTTGTGCTTTTCCTAAGAACGGGTCCTCCATTTCCACCAGCACCTGATGCAGGAAGTCCATTTTTATGGCCTCCATTCCCATTCCCACCAGCACCAATGTCCTTTGCTGCTGCTGCATTAAGGTTCACGCCATTCAACTGTTTTAAACCACACGAGTTGCAAAGAACTTCTCCTTGCGAACCTTTTCTCCATATCGGAGAAGATGTAATTTTACAAGAAGTACACACTGGCTTCACACCAAACGGCATCTGGGCAGAACTGAATACAACCCAAATACGACAAGGGACTCTATAACTGTTACGAGAGAAGTTGTTCTGTAGAAACCATTCTGGAAACAAAACATGTACAAGAAAACCTACGGCTGTGGAACGATCTCAAACTTACTGCTCTGCCTTGGCCTAGGCCCTTCTAAGCTTGGATGACTGACTACAAGAGGCCTATCTAGCAGTAGCTGGCCTCTAAGAAATCAGGACATCACGCAAGGGAAGATAACTGGGATAACATGGACTATCAATTATTGTTGGACTGGACAAATTTATGAACAATATTAATATCTAGATCTATAAACATTTTTGATTCTTCAAAAATTATTCATCTGATTGCATTAAAAGTGTGTTCTGAAAATGTGAGGATGGTCTTTGATAATATTAGAAGACGCACTCTTTCAAACAGATTAATAGCATAGAGATCTAATATTTGTTTTGTTTAATCGATTGTGTTTTTACAACTTTAAAGCTGGCTCTAAATTTAGAAAGTTAAATGGCGGAATGACAACAATACAAACCCTTTTGTTTTTAATTCGCTATTTTATCCGTCATGAGAAAAAGAAGCTCCAAATCGTCAAATTATTGCCCATAAGTCCAGTGAGCAGGCGTCTGCCCAGGATGGATGATCCTGAAGTAACATTACAAGAACAGATGTTTCATAATGCTGTCCGAGAGCACATTGTGAGTGCTGAAACTTGTTATTTACACGGCCAATTTACACTAAAAAATAAATAAATTTATAGACCTTTTATAAAAAGACAGTAGATTTAGATCTAGATCTAGATTCTAGATCTAGATTCTGTTCTTTTCGGTCAACCAAACTGTCGAAAAATTTATAAATACTCTCTACCAATAAATAATAATGTTGACAAAGGTAAGCAGAGGAAGACTTTCTTTTTTGGGCAGTGGCTATTTTTACGGCGAGCAGTAACGGCACGGTAAAGATAGCCTCCCGCGCTATTTTTACGGCGGTCACAAACTGATGACGTAGAACACGTTTTTCAGTCTTATAAATTCCGTCTTGGCTTGTAGGCCTCCTAGTAGGCCTTATTTGTTATTTTATCTTTTACTAAACGAAGTGGCTAGCCGTACTTAGATCTAGGTTTGGCCCAATCGACTCAAGCCTGTTAAGTACACAGGTCTCATTAGATCTAGATCTAGATCTAGTAATTATTCAAGTTCAAATACATGCAAGTCAGTAAGGCACCTTTTGGTTTTGACTGAAATACAAATACTTTAGGCATTGCAAACTAAAAAATTCATTTACAATTCAGCCATCAATATTAAGTACGGCTAGCCTGACAGTCTAGCCGTCCTTAAGTACGGCTAGCCTGGCTGTCTACCCGTACTTAAGTACGGCTAGACAAGAAGTCTAGCCATACTTAAGTACGGCTAGACTGCCAGTCTAGCCGTACTTGTATTAACATTAGAAAACAGGAGGTTTAAAATACATGCACTGTCATTAAGGCACATGGTTTTGTCTCAAATACAAATACTTAAATAGGTACTGCACACTAAAAATGTATATTTACAATTCAGTAAGCCTATTTTTTGTAAATGGTCAGTCTAGCCATCATATTAAGAATAAGTACGGCTAGCCTCTTCCTTTACTAAATGATTTAAATTATTAAGGCCACCTCTATTCTCACCCCGGGTGAGAATAGCGCAGGCGAGTCTTTTGGCTATTCTCACCCGGTAGGCGTTCACCGTTATAGTATAGCCTCGGCCAACCAGTTAAGCGTTCACCCTGAACCACAGAATTCTACACTCTGTCTTAGAGCTATGATCTCTATCTTATAAAATGTTCTATTACTACTGTTAGTGTTAGCCTAAAAGCGTGCAATTTTGTCTGTGGGCAGTGGAGAGAGAGAAAGAGAGAGAGAGAGAGGAGTAGCGCAAGAACTTCCGGGCAAAACAAAATGGCGACCCGCGTAGTTCGGCTCGATTCGGAGAGTTAAACAGCCGTAGCATCTTTGTAGACGACCAAATTAATTTACTTTTGTGTTTTAACATCATTTTTAAACTTTGTTTTGGTCAATTTGATCGTCCGCACCGATAGACAGTATTCAGAAAGAGAGAGAGAGAGGGGGGGGGGGGGGGGAGTAGATCTTGCGAGAACTTCCGGGCAAAATAAAATGGCGACCCGCGTAGTTCGGCTTGATTCGAAAAGTGAAATAGCCATCATCTTTGAAGACGATCAAATTAGCTTATTTTTGTGCTATAACGTAATTTTTTCTTGGCTTTTATCAATTTGATCATCCACACCGATAGAAAGTCAAAATGAGGAAAAACAGGTCTTGTTTCACACCGGGTGAGAATAGCCTACGGTGGCAAGTCTCACCCGGGGTGAGAGGTAGATCGTATTTCTATTCTCACCCCGGGTGAGAATAGCCACTTCCTAAAATTAAACTAATGTAACATACTTTGAGCTGGTTAAAACCGAGAGTAAGGCATTATAATTAAATGCCCTCTATTATTAGTATTATCGTAATTATAGACTTTATTCTGGACTTAAACAATTCAATGTTTTTATGTCCTTTACTTGGACCTTGTTTTTGTGGGATTCTTTCAAATAATAAAATAGATCGCATTTTTTAAGTTTTTGTGTTTTGTTTTCTGATGTGCTCATATTATTACTGTCCATTTTACGGGGAACAGCTCACCCCAAGGGTGATTCTTTTTCTGATTCATATTTGGGAAAAAAAATTATACAGGCATAAGAAATAATGAAGAAAGTAAATTTTGATAAGTCCGAAAATATGAAATTTGCCATGGAATGGAAACAGCACCAACATGCAAAACAAACAATAATTTTAAAAAAACGAAGGCTTCTTACTCTCTAACAAAATTGCATGAAAATTGGTGGAATGGTAAATACAGATGCTATGGTCAATCGTACTGAGCAAAATTTTGATATTTGAATGTAAAAAATATATATATATATATGTTCCTGTACCCTGAAATTGCATCACAATAATTAATAAATTAATCATTGTGAACAACAACAAAATGTTACGCCTCTATCAAAAATCTGCTCAGTGCAAAGGAAGGAGGAACATTTTAAAGGCATTCCAAAGGCGAAAAGTGTTAACTCCAAAATGGCCGCTCTTCTTGTGGGTGTGGTACATGTAGTGATGTCGGTGAATGAGATGATGATGCTGGCAGTGGCAGTGATGATGGTAATGATAATGACGAGGATGTGATGGTGGGGGTGATGATAAAGAGAGGGTAAATGATGATGGTGGGGAGAAGAAGGAAGAGGTGGTAGTGGAGGAAGGGAGAAGGAAGATGAAGAAGAGGAGAATGATGGTGAAGAGGAGGAAATGGAAAACCTATGGGGCTGTTCAAATATAATCTTATACACACTTTTGGGGACTTTTTTAAAGCACAAAACCCAAATACCACTTTTCTCACATTTGCCTCCAACCCCCACCCACACCAATTTAATATTAGTACTTTTTCCGATCTTCAACTTCCATTATAATTTTAAAGATATACCTGTACTAGATCTATACGTAACGTGGCTTTTTTTACCAGCTTGTAAAAAAAATATATCATATTCAGTTAATACAATTTAATCAAACCATATGAACTAGAAAGAACGCATATATGTGGAAGACATTGGGACTCTTGTCAATCCAATAGGTAAGTGCCTCACAAATAAAAGACACCAAGACATTAAAACATCAACAAAACAGTTGCAAAGTTACAAAGAAACATTAAGAAATTAGATATCCATGTCCAGAATTTTCATCATAATTTCAAAATTATTTGTACCCCCCCCCCCCCCCACCTCTCCAAAAAAAACCCAACAAAACAAAAAACAACAGGGATCTGCAGTGATCATGCAGATCTGGGTCTTGTTACTGGCATTTATCCACTTTTTCTTTTACCTTTTCTTCCCAGTCATGAGAAAAACGTTCATCTCACAGAAGTGTCATATTTGGTTAACCTCCCCACCCAATCTTACTCTTTTCTTACAGAAGCCAAAGACACCCTTTCCCCTCTGTGGTGTAAGTTTATATTTTTAACGGCCCCTATAGGCCTAGATCTAATACATTGAGGCATGTCGCGTACATGAGAGGCGGAGTAGGGTCGCTTTTTTGAGGATTGCCTTAAAAATAGCCTGGGACTCACCGAGCCTTAAAAATAGCCACTGCGTTCTTTTTGTCACTCCATTTTTGTGACTGTTTCGCTCAAATCTTCATTATAACGAAGTGGCTAGCCAGTGGCTAGCCGTAAACTGGCAATCTAGCCGTACTTAGATCTAGGTTTGGCCCTATCGACTCAAACCTGTTGAGTACACAGGTCTCATTAGATCTAGATTGTAGATCTAGAGAGAGGTCTAGTAATTATTCAGGTTTAAAATACATGCAAGTCGGTAAGGCACCTTTTCGTTTTGTCTGAAATACAAATATACTTCAGGCATTGCAAACTAAGTATTTCATTTGGCCACCTCTATCCTTTTGACTATTCTCACCCGGTGTGCGTTCACCACTATAGCCTAGATCTAGGCCAACCAATTTTGCGTTCACCCTGAACCTCAGAATTCTACTTTGTGATAACAGAAAAATTGTAGAATTTTGTGCCGTGAACAAACGTTCCATTACTACTGTTAGCTTAAAACTAAAAGCGTGCAATTTTGTATGTGGGCACTGGAGAGAGAGAGAGAGAGAGAGAGGAGTTGCGCGAGAACTTTCGGGCAAAACAAAATGGCGACCCGCGCAGTTCGGCTCGATTCGAAAAGTGAAATAGCCGTAGCATCTTTGTAGACGACCAAATTAATTTACTTTTGTGTTTTAACATCTTTTTAAAATTTTGTTTTGGTCAATTTGATTGTCCACACCGATAGACAGTATTCAGAAAGAGACAGAGAGAGAGAAGAGGGGAGGAGTAGATCTTGCGAGAACTTCCGGGCAAAACAAAATGGCGACCCGCGTAGTTCGGCTCGATTCGAAAAGTGAAATAGCCATATCATCTTTGTACACAAATCAAATTAGCTTACTTTTGTGCTATAACGTAATTTTTTCTTTGCTTTTATCCATTTGATCATCCACACTGATAGAAAGTACTCTCAAATTAGGAAAAACAGGTCTTGTTTCACACCGGGTGAGAATAGCCTACGGTGGCAAGTCTCACCCGGGGTGAGAGGTCGATCATATTTTTATTCTCACCCCGGGTGAGAATAGCCACTTCCATTTCATTTACAATTCAGCCATCAATAATAAGTATGGCTAGCCTGATTGTCTAGCCGTCCTTTAAAAGTACTGCTAGCCTAGCCGTCTAGCCGTACTTATATCTTAGGCCAGAAAACAAGTCTCATTTAATAGTAATTATTCAGGTTTAAAATACATGCTCTGTCTTTAAGGCACCTGGTTTCATCTCAAATACAAATTACTTTAGGTACTGCAAACTAAAAATGTATTTACAATTCAGTATTATTAGGCCTATTTTTTTTGTTTTGGTCAGTCTAGCCGTCATATTAAAAATAAGTACAGCTAGCCCAGCTGTCTAGCCGTCATTAAGTACGGCTAGCCTCTTCCATCTTATAATGTCATTGATTGATCATCTCGCCGTTGGAGTCATCTTGACTTGATGTGTGACGTCTAATCTACATAGTGACTGTAGTCTGTGTCTGTCTTGTAGCTGGATGCCGAGTGTTGCCTGCTTTGCTTTTGTCCTGAGGCTGAGGACTGAAATGCTGTTGTTTCATCTTCGAAATCTTTCTCTCTTATGCATGATCTTGTTGATCTAAGTACCCTGCTGAGTGTAATAACTTAGTATAATTAGCAGTGGCCATGAGCGTATACTGATTAGATCTAACTAGATCTAGCCTTAAATTAGGAGTCAACTAAGTGTGGCATGGTGATGTTGATGAAAATATAGACAAGACTGGAAGGGGTTTTTATTATAAATCTGAATGTTATATTCTTTTTTTGGGGGGGTGGGGGGGGGGGATGGCCTCTCGCCTTTAGGTTAGGACCGTTAGGCCTATGCTCTTTTAAAACAGAATTCTGTGCTCATTTTCAGAGAATCGGAGGAGGTTTTACTCACCAACAGGGTTTTATGTAAATCACTTTTTCTTACTCAGGATATAGGCCTACAGGAATAGTTAGTCAATGACGTTAAAGTAAAGGAATTTTGGGTTCATGTCTTGTCTTAATGGAAAGCAAAACTTTCATTTCAGATGAACCCAGAAAATTTTTAATCTTATTCATTTTTAAATTCAAGTCTTCATCCCTTTCCTCACTATTTTCATCTCTGCTGTATTGTTCTACGTAATGCGATCGTCATATATCAGCCTCTTTTTTCTAGATTGTGAAACAGTTCCACTGTTCTCTCTCTCTGCTGTGATTCTCCTACCCTTCTTGCAGGCAACTACACTACTGTTCTGATCTAGATGCCATTGTTGTGTACACAGATATCGTCAACCTAAAGAAAGTTTTTTAATTTGTCCCTTAGATCAAAGTCAAGTAACACGCAATCAACACCTGTGTCTGTCGACTAACACCAAACTGGTTGTAACTGTGCACATCAATAAAATTAGGCAAAACACAGATCTTTACAGGAATACATTGTAATGAGGAAAATAACAAGAAGTACCTATAAATGCTGACATTGCTCTTCAATGGTTTTGAGATGTCCCAATGAACGTTGAGTGTGTCTTTCCTGGTAATACATACTTACAAAACAGAGAACAGGTTTAGAGGTTTGGAAGAGAATCTAGGGGTGTTGAGTGTAGAAATTCATATTTGAGGGGAATTTAAGTGTTATTGTGAAATAGATCAAACAGGACAACTGTATTCTAGTTTAACTGAAAATATCATTAATGGGGGGGGGGGGGGGGGTTGGCCTCAATTAAGGTTTTCAAAGGTTCTTCTTCAGTTTAGATCTTCAGACAGTGTAGAAGATCTGGAACTCAGGAACTTGGATTCAGTTCAGGTGAAGCTTGGATACCAGATTTTCAGGCCGGGGGGAGGGGAGTTATGGGTGTAACTAGCTAAGGGGGGGGGGGTCTCAACAACTTTTACTTCCATTGAAAACTCATTGTTGTGGATTTTCCTAAAAAACATAGATCAAAAGTACAAAAAATGTAAATTTGCAGTTTCCAAGGGCACCCAAGCTTTGTAATTCAAGAAAATTTGGCAGCTATTTTTTTTTCGTTGACACCAGATTGCCCCCACCTCCTTCTCAGACAAAAGCACACGATTCCACCGTATCGTGACATGCGTGCATACGTATTATATATAGAGAGAGAGAGCAGAGAGAGATATATATATATATATATATTATATATATATATATATATATATATATATATATATATATATATATATATATATATATATATATATATATGTATATATATTTTTATATATATATATATATATAGAGAGAGAGAGAGAGAGAGGGAGAGTATATATATACCCCAAATCCTGGTTTACGGTTGACCCCACCCATCCCAGCACTTCATGTTAATATTTTGTCTTTCAGGTTTTGCTTTACAAACTGTGCAGTCTGTTCAACTTGCTACGCCTGTTTGCCTTTTTCTAAAAACCCATTTTGCTGGACGAAATAGACTATAGAGTGACACTTTAACTTTAATCTTTCACAGATTTCGTCCCTGCTGTTTATACTTCTGTACTTAATCTCCTATGTGACGTTGTCTCAGTTCCGAAAGCAAGCTAGCAATGAGGATATGTATGCAGGTATGTAAGACTGTTTCTGTTGTGTATTTTTATACTTATTGTATATGATGCATCTTGTGTGCATAATTGTCAAGTACCAGATCTAAGACAGACATCAGCTTTTGGCAACAGCTATATGGCCAGCTCAGGACTTATTATGGACAGGTCACTTAAGAGACACTCGTGAATTTAAAAATTAGTTTTCTACTTTACTTTCAGCTACATCTTTTCATATTGCATTGGTCACTGTGTGTTCCAGGGTGAAACTTTAATTCTACCTTGTGCAATATTTTTATTCTCACTGGGTCTGACTTGTGAAACTGTCGTTGAAGCCTTTTTTTGAGTCTGGAATTTTTATTTATTTATTTTTTTTTAAGTAAGTGTTTTACGGCGCTCGCAACTGCATGAGGTCATATGAGCGCGCCGGATGCCTTAACATTTTTCAGTAGGTAGGAAATTTTGAATTTTGCCCGGGTGGCAGCTGAAACCTACTCTTATTGATTTTAGACCACCAAGGGATCTTTAACGTGCACAACTTGCACACAGGCCCTCTGAAATTTTTCACCCTTGTCCGAGAAAGCTAGTTATAGATCTTTCCTACCAGAAGATCAGGGGTGTGGCTGAAAGACAGCTGTAAGAAGGAGCCAAGGAGTAGCAGTAGAAAGGCTGCAGAAAGAGTCAGGAGCCCAGAGGAGGGGGAAAAGGAGGTGATGGGGTCTGGAAATTTGTTTTAAAAACTTTTGATTGGTTTTGAAGAAGATGATATTATTTGAATGCAGTTTTTTATAAATGAATGTTACTGCCGTTGTAATGTGAATGTGCAATGAATGATTTAAGTTTGGCTTCTTTGGTTGGATTTTACAGTTTTCTATTTTACTTTTGTCTTTATTTAGAATGAAACTTATATTTACCCTGTTTTTATTTGAACGTGCAGTCAATGCTTTTTAATTTTGTAAAGCTCTTTTGGCCTGAATTTACCGAAAAGAGTGGTTGAAGTTTTGTTATTGATTTTGACATTGTAAGGTAAGAGTGTTGTGCTGGTCTGCTCAGAGTATAAATTCTGTTGAGATGTTAATCTGAGAAATTATGTGTTGTAGGAAACAGTGTAGTAAACTACGTTATACTTTGTGGGATCCTAGAATATCTATTTTCTTTTTACAAATGCTTTTTCAGTGGATGTTTAGTGTGAATGGCGTTAAGGTGTGTACCAAATTACTTGGTCACCGATTTTGATCCCCTCTCTACTTGTTCATTGATCAAAGCTAGTTTCATTGTTCTCCTCTGGGACACCTTTGTGTCTTTCACGTAATTCAGACAATTCTTAGATATAGTTAAAATTCTCATTGTGAAAGTCATGTAGTCATGTAGAAAAATGGTATGCTTGCTGGTTTCATGTTTTGTCACAGAATGATTCAGAGAGGGTAAAGATGTTTTTATTAGGCATCACAAGTCATTTTGTGTGAATGACAAGGCTTAAAGTGAGACTTTATTTTGTCCATAGGTGAAGAGGATGCGAATGTGTACAGATTCTCGTAAGTATACAGATAGTCTGTCTTGGGTTTCATACTCAAGTACTGGGTTCGTTATAATTTTTATGACATCATGCTGATAAGACAAAAGAATCAGGGGAAAGTCATTCAAGAGTTGAGGTTCTTGTCGCTCATTCCAAAGTGCTGAGTTCGGATTTGAGTATGTGCAGGCATCGTTGGTTGTCCCCTCTTCTTTTTTTTTTTTCGCCCCCTATCTCAGGATAGCTAAGATAATATACCTTTTGGACGAGGAATAACAACTTTGAGATCTTGGATGTATGTTGCATGCATTACAAATCCTCTGGCCTGGCAGATGAAAGTCAATGGGTATTGCACTCATAGTTTTGAAAAGGTGTTGGACTAGATGATATCAAACATGAGATGAAGTAGAAATTAAAAGGTTGTTATGAGCGCTAGACAAGTATTTGATGTAAATGATAAATAGGTTGTAACCATTATTGTCACTAGGACTGTCACTGTGTGTCCCCAGACTGTGGATGTGCACTGCCACGCTGTCAGTGTCAGTGGGTGCGGCACTGCTGCTCCCCATCTCTATTGTCAGTAACGAGGTGGTCCTGCTCTACCCTGACAGCTATTACATAAAGTGGTTGGACTCCTCACTAATACAGGGTGAGTACACCTGAGTGTGTGACACTGTACACTTTTTTTTTTCTTTTTTTTTGGGG